ACGTGAGTGCCGGCGTTCCTCAAGGCGGCATATTATCTCCTCTGTTATTTTCTGTTTTTATAAACGCCATCACTAAAATTTTAACTTCGCACTACCCTCTGTATGCCGATGACTTGCAGCTCTACGAACACTCTACTGTCAATGATCTTGCCGCGGCTATTAGCTCCCTGAATGATAATCTCCACCGCATTTCTCTTTGATCCGCTAAATATGGTATCACTGTCAATCCCTCCAAGTGTCAAGCCATCATTATAGGCAGCGGGAGACAGTTAGCGAAGCTAGATGTTCCGACTCTGCCCAGCCTACGATATAATAATATACCAATAGAGTTCAGCAGTAGTGTTAAAGACCTCGGCATTATCATTGACAGTAAACTCAGTTGGGGGGAACATATTAAAGAAGTTTCTCGTAGGTTTTATGCCACTATGCATTCCATGATGCGTTTAAAAAATTTTTTATGGAAACTAAAATGGAAACTAAAATCCAGCTTGCTTCTACCCTCTTGGTTCCAATTATTGACTACGGTGACTCCTGTTACTTAGACCTGTCGGAAGAACACCTCCAAAAACTTAATCGTCTTCTAAACAACGGCATTCGCTTCATCTTTAGTTTACGCAAGTTCGACCACGTTTCTCGTTTTAGGAAGCAGTTACACTGGCTTCCTATACGGGAACGTAGGTATACTAGGATTCTATGTCTTCTCTACTCTATTCTTACCGACCCTAATGCTCCCACCTATTTATCCTCTAAATTTTCTCTTCTCTCCTCTACTCATAATAAGCCCCTACGATCCTCTCAATCCCTTACCCTTTTCATACCTCCCCATAAATCTGGCTTTGTTTCCAACTCCTTCTCTTTAGTCGCAGCCCGGCTTTGGAACACTTTGCCTGACTCTATTCGTAGAGCCCCTTCGCGCGATTCTTTCAAGCGTCAAGTGAAAGAATTTTATCTGTCGTCTGTCAACACTATGTGATGTCTTTTCTTCTGTACTATTGTCATTATTGGATTCATATATATATATATGTATATATTTGTGTATATATGTTAAATATTTATGTACTTGTATATGTATTTGTTTGTGCATATTTATGTATATTATGTATATGTATGTATTTTATATCATGTATATATTTTTAATGTTTCTTTAACCTCTGTGCACACCCTACTTACTTCTATCCTACACTTTCTGGGTTGGCTGGCAGAAAATGCTGTAATAGCGTTAAGTCCGCCCTTTGTACACCTCTGTTTGTGCAATAAAGAATAATAAAAAAAAAAAAAAATACAAAGAACGGATTCTACTATATATGCTTTTTATAGGAATCATTAATTAATTAATTGGCAATACTAGAAATAATAAATATCCCAGAAATTCAAACGTTCTGTTTGTGAATTAAATGAATGTAATTTCATAGCATAACATAATTATATGAGACTTTATTACATGAATACTTTATTTAATCAATAAATTAATACTCTTTCAGAAACGATAAATCAGTGAACATCTCTTTCTACATACGTCTTATTTCCTGTAATATAATGTCTCACTTTTCTTTTCTGACGAAACAAGACATCTATCAAAATATATCTATGGACTTAAGTTTGAAAGAGAAAATCCTATTATCATACACTCGTAACATTTATGTCTAACTATAAAATATTGATCTAATTCTACTTCCATCTAATGAACAAAAATTTTTAAATAATGAATCATTTATTTCATCATAATATAACTTACTTACTTTTTTACTCATCATTAATTCCATTAGGTTTTTGTAATACATTTTGAATATTCATATAGTATTTGAAACATAAAAGTGATTATATTTCTTATGATAAAGACGTAAAATATATAGGTATAAAATTATTATAATCATGAGAACCAATAACGTAAATGAAAACACGAAGTAGTTGTCTTTTTGTAGAATGCTATAAACATATCTTGAAAGTTTTTCTTGTGTCTTAATGTAACATTAGTGAAGGGTAGGATCATAAAAAAGTTATAAATAATTCAATAAAAATCCACAAACGTGTACATTTTTTCGTTGCCTTGATCTGTTATCTCTATTTGTTATCACCAAGAAATAAAATTTCATCAAGAACATCTACTTTGTAGCTCTAGCCTGTATATAAAGAAGTTTTAAACAATGTAACAGATATGTATGTACTTTTTTCTTAGATATGATTCTCCCACATTAAATACATGACATCACTAGTAAGTAATTTTTTCAAAGACTTCCCATAAAAGTTTTCATTTACATCATAAAGTCAACGAATTACTAGCTACCTGTTTTTTTTTCGTCTTCAATTGAGATAACAACGCTAATTTCTACAACATTTTACTCATTTAAATATCTATAAAGTAACTTAGAATTAACAATAATTTCTACATATATTTGTATTTATTTATTTTATTTAGGATAGTAAAAAAGTTGCAGTAGGGGAGCGGGGGGCACGTTGTTACAATTTTTAGATAATTATTAATATCACAAAAGCTACCAAAAAATGTATACATTTGATTGCTTTTACCATTAGTGTGTCTATTCAGCTAGTAGAATACAATTGGAAAAATATTAAAATTTACGTAATTTTTCCCAAAAAAGAAAAACTGCAGAATATCGCGGTAATTTTGACCGGGCCAAACAGGAAGTAGATTTTGATAAAAACCCTTTTGAGTATTCGAAAACCATTTTTAAGAAAGAACGCGGACAGCTTCTCTTGACCAACGATCAAATTTACGACCATTTCAAGAGCACATACGAAGTGCCTAAAAGTGTAAGGCTCTATACGGATCCAAACGAACAAAAACCGGAAATTCCTCATATCGATTTTCACGGCATACCACCAACGTTAGACGAAATAAGTAGTCACATAAAGAGGAAATCATCTAAATCTGCACCGGGCCCCGATGGTATCCCATATATAGTCTTTAAAAAATGTCCATCGGTTCGTAAACACCTCATAAATATATACGGCAAAATCTGGTCAAGGAAGCAAATCCCGGAGTGTTTCGGGAAAGCAATTTTTGTCCTCATTCCCAAAAAAGATCGAGTTACCGATCCGAGGGATACTAGACCGATAGCCTTAACAAATACAATTTCTAAAATCTTTTTCTCGGTCCTACAAACGAGAATGACGCGATTCATGCTCAGCAACAAGTATTTTAGGCCAAATCACCAGAAAGGGTTTCTACCCGGGATTTCTGGATGCCTAGAACACAACACCTTGCTGTCGGAGAGTTTGAAAGATGCTAGAAAAAGCGAGCGGCAAATTACAGTTTGTTGGATAGACTTAGAGAACGCGTTCGGGTCGATACAACACGAGTTGATGCTATTCGCGCTTAGATGGTACAACTTTCCACCCCTAGTTAGAGATATGATCGCGTCGTATTACTCAAAATTAAGGTTTTCTATAATAACTAAAGAAGGCCCTTCAAAAAGTTTGAGTTATAATGTAGGTCTGTTTCAAGGTTTCCGGCGTCGGGACGTGACGACCCCATCGCCCACTGGTGTATTCCGGTGCAATCAGTCACGGGGGGGAGGGCTGGGGGTACAGCCCTGGGAGTAAGACGGTCACGGATCTGGCAGGAGGCCGTCCGTGGCTGTCTTGGGGGGGAGGGGATACTTGGGTCTCTCCGGAGGCCTGAGTTCGCTTGTGGTCGGTCGGTTTCCTCTCTGTCTGCCGTCGGGCGCTTGCGCTCGTCGGTGGGTGGTTGGAGACTGGCCGCGTGGGCTTGGGTGGGAGGGGTAAGGGGTTAACCCTCTCGCGATTAAGCAAGCCCGCCAGGCGGGGGGACACTCCTGGTCACTTGGAGTGAGCCCTCGGGGGGGGGGGGGAGGTGGCCGTTCGCGGCCCGCCGCCGGATCGTCGCGGATGCATGCTTCGGCGTTTCCCGTGGCGATCCACTTGGCGGCAACGGAGAGTGACCGCTGGTGTTTTAGTGGGTAACATGGGCCCTTCTGGCCGTGAATCCCACATAACCGCCTCTGTCTCCCCTAGACGGAGGGGTAGGTATAAAACCTTTCACCGCGATAACAAAAAAAAAAAAAAAAAAAAAAGGTCTGTTTCAAGGTTGTTGTCTATCTCCAATTACGTTTAATATCGTTATTAACATCTTAGTAGACAAATTAATCTGTAACGAGAAAAAATGGGGTTATCGGTTTAAGTTTAATAATAAATACACGGAATCCATTTTAGCCTTCGCTGACGATCTCGCAATACTGACACGTCACCCCAAACACTGTCAAGTACTATTGGATGAAGTGGATAAATTCTGTGAGTGGACGGATGGATTGAGGACAAAACCAAGTAAATGTCACTGTTTGTGTCTTGGTAGGCGGAATACAAGATACACCTCATACGATCCGGGACTATCGATAGGCGGTCAATGCGTTTCTACGGTTACGGAAGATGCACCATTCAAGTTTCTCGGTCGTAAGATTGATAATATAGGTCGTACTCCATCTTTAGAAGGAATAGTAGATAGCTTTTTAAATGATCTTAACAAGGTAGATAGCCAGCAGATCAGTAACGTAAAAAAAGCATGGATCTACGATAATTACTTAACTTCACGTTTGAATTGGCCTTTCCTCGTCTATGATTTTAGTAAAACCCTTTTATCTAAATTAGATGCAGGCGTCATAAAGATGTTGAAGTTGTGGCTCGGGCTCGCGCTAACGGCTGACTCATCGGCTTTATTCAGGGATCGTAATAGTTTTGGGATGAATCTAAAAAGACCATCGGAGCTCTACAAACACCTAAGAGTTTCCAAGAGACATATCCTGGGAAAATCCCATGATGACGTCGTTACATCACTCCCAAAAGACAATGATGCCCCAGAGCTAGAGTCACGACTTCAATTCCATAAACAATTTATGATCGGAGCGCAAAATAACAGAGTAGGGTTAGGATCAAGTAGGAAAGTCCAAGATACGGATATATTGAAGTCTTTTATTCGGCAAGACGAGAACGATAAATACAAGATCCATGCAATGAGTTTAGAAATGCAGAACGAGTGGTTAGACATAGGAGATTTTTGCATTCCACTAGCACTAAAATGGCGCACCCTAATTCATGACTGGTCGCCAGCCTTGCTAAAATTTTATCTCAATGCGTTCCAGATGACTCTCCCAGATCAGAGTAATTTAGTAAGATGGGGTAAAGGTACCGAAAAAACTTGCTATATCTGCGGAAAGGCAGTTGGAACTGCCAAGCATTTGCTGGTGGGATGTAAGGTTCTCCTGGACAGCGGTCAATACTCGCGTCGTCACGATAGGGTTTTAGAGATCATACGTGAAGCGGTTAGTCTTTCGGTAGCCAGAGCGCAAAGGGAAATAACCACAAACGAGCGATCAATAGGTTTTGTGAGAGAGGGCACCAGGGCTATAAAATCAAACGTCAAGCCTTACTCTATCCTTAAAGCGGCTTCGGATTGGACTATCATGATGGATACGTATGAGAAACAATACAAAATCCCCGAGGATATTTGTGCGTCGGCCTCCAGACCAGACATATTTCTATATTCGCGTATTTTAAAGCGCGTTGTGATGATAGAGCTTACGGTGCCTTGGGAAACCAACATCCCCAAAGACCATGCCACCAAGGTCAATAAGTATTACGAGCTCACTAACGAACTAACTCGAAATAGGTTCGTCGTTGATTTGTACGCGGTAGAGGTGGGAGCGAGAGGTATAACAGCTAAATCTCTCTATAACCTACTAAAAGACTTGGGCCTGTCCAGAACTAACATTAATTCATTCTTAGAACGTACGTCGAAGGCAGCCCTAGTAGGTTCTTTTCAAATTTGGTTAGGTAGGGAGAGGAACTTGGACAGTGGAGGTGAGCGTATAACGCGCGTTAGTTAAGGGGCCCCTTAAACCTACACCTGGGTCGCAAGTCCCAGGCACTGTTGAAGCTCCTCTCCCTGCAACGCAATGGACCCGGCACCCGCACGGTGAATCCATTGAATGCTAAGAGGTTTCGTCTCATATAAAACGACTGCCCGGAGAGTCGGGCTGACTCTGGAAAGACAGATGACTGCCGGAAAGACGGATGACTGCCGGAAAGACGGATGACTGCTGGAAAGACAGCCGAGGGCAACGGCCTAGCAAGCCCAGCCCGGGATTTATTAAGCTAAAAGTCCTATAAAGAAAAATACCCCTGGGACAGTCCGAGAGGGGGGGCGGAAGATCTGTCCACCGGTCGATTTAAACGGCGAAAACGGCGCGAATACGGACTTGAAATGCCCTACGTGCGGGAAAAATTACAAGAGACGAGCCTGGTACATTAAACACCTAAAAACACATAATGGTGTTGAAGCGCGACAATCGTTGGTAAGTTCTTCAATTATCACTTCGGATAGAGTTGACCCTCACGTATCCCATGGTGAACCATTAACTGGAAACCACCAGGAGTCCATTAACATCCGGACACGTCTTAGCATTCCTAACATGAAACAATCGACTTGGAAAGTTCACGACGACAATTTAGCGGTCCTGTTAGAGCATCCGGGCTCGAAGCAGGAATTGAACTCGCAGGTAGAAACTTTCCAAAATACCGTTTATGACTACTTCAACGAGCAATATCCACCACGTAATCATTACGCTCGCAAAAATAAAGAAAATTCGTTCAAGATAAAAATGAGGAAGAAAAAAAAACGGGAATTAATAAAAAATCTACGTATAGCCAAAGCTCTAGGCGACAACCACCTTAGTCATCAGCTAGCTAGGGCGTTAAGGTCAATCCTTAAATTAATTCAAGGAATATCGGCACAAACTGCAGAATATCGCGGTAATTTTGACCGGGCCAAACAGGAAGTAGATTTTGATAAAAACCCTTTTGAGTATTCGAAAACCATTTTTAAGAAAGAACGCGGACAGCTTCTCTTGACCAACGATCAAATTTACGACCATTTCAAGAGCACATACGAAGTGCCTAAAAGTGTAAGGCTCTATACGGATCCAAACGAACAAAAACCGGAAATTCCTCATATCGATTTTCACGGCATACCACCAACGTTAGACGAAATAAGTAGTCACATAAAGAGGAAATCATCTAAATCTGCACCGGGCCCCGATGGTATCCCATATATAGTCTTTAAAAAATGTCCATCGGTTCGTAAACACCTCATAAATATATACGGCAAAATCTGGTCAAGGAAGCAAATCCCGGAGTGTTTCGGGAAAGCAATTTTTGTCCTCATTCCCAAAAAAGATCGAGTTACCGATCCGAGGGATACTAGACCGATAGCCTTAACAAATACAATTTCTAAAATCTTTTTCTCGGTCCTACAAACGAGAATGACGCGATTCATGCTCAGCAACAAGTATTTTAGGCCAAATCACCAGAAAGGGTTTCTACCCGGGATTTCTGGATGCCTAGAACACAACACCTTGCTGTCGGAGAGTTTGAAAGATGCTAGAAAAAGCGAGCGGCAAATTACAGTTTGTTGGATAGACTTAGAGAACGCGTTCGGGTCGATACAACACGAGTTGATGCTATTCGCGCTTAGATGGTACAACTTTCCACCCCTAGTTAGAGATATGATCGCGTCGTATTACTCAAAATTAAGGTTTTCTATAATAACTAAAGAAGGCCCTTCAAAAAGTTTGAGTTATAATGTAGGTCTGTTTCAAGGTTGTTGTCTATCTCCAATTACGTTTAATATCGTTATTAACATCTTAGTAGACAAATTAATCTGTAACGAGAAAAAATGGGGTTATCGGTTTAAGTTTAATAATAAATACACGGAATCCATTTTAGCCTTCGCTGACGATCTCGCAATACTGACACGTCACCCCAAACACTGTCAAGTACTATTGGATGAAGTGGATAAATTCTGTGAGTGGACGGATGGATTGAGGACAAAACCAAGTAAATGTCACTGTTTGTGTCTTGGTAGGCGGAATACAAGATACACCTCATACGATCCGGGACTATCGATAGGCGGTCAATGCGTTTCTACGGTTACGGAAGATGCACCATTCAAGTTTCTCGGTCGTAAGATTGATAATATAGGTCGTACTCCATCTTTAGAAGGAATAGTAGATAGCTTTTTAAATGATCTTAACAAGGTAGATAGCCAGCAGATCAGTAACGTAAAAAAAGCATGGATCTACGATAATTACTTAACTTCACGTTTGAATTGGCCTTTCCTCGTCTATGATTTTAGTAAAACCCTTTTATCTAAATTAGATGCAGGCGTCATAAAGATGTTGAAGTTGTGGCTCGGGCTCGCGCTAACGGCTGACTCATCGGCTTTATTCAGGGATCGTAATAGTTTTGGGATGAATCTAAAAAGACCATCGGAGCTCTACAAACACCTAAGAGTTTCCAAGAGACATATCCTGGGAAAATCCCATGATGACGTCGTTACATCACTCCCAAAAGACAATGATGCCCCAGAGCTAGAGTCACGACTTCAATTCCATAAACAATTTATGATCGGAGCGCAAAATAACAGAGTAGGGTTAGGATCAAGTAGGAAAGTCCAAGATACGGATATATTGAAGTCTTTTATTCGGCAAGACGAGAACGATAAATACAAGATCCATGCAATGAGTTTAGAAATGCAGAACGAGTGGTTAGACATAGGAGATTTTTGCATTCCACTAGCACTAAAATGGCGCACCCTAATTCATGACTGGTCGCCAGCCTTGCTAAAATTTTATCTCAATGCGTTCCAGATGACTCTCCCAGATCAGAGTAATTTAGTAAGATGGGGTAAAGGTACCGAAAAAACTTGCTATATCTGCGGAAAGGCAGTTGGAACTGCCAAGCATTTGCTGGTGGGATGTAAGGTTCTCCTGGACAGCGGTCAATACTCGCGTCGTCACGATAGGGTTTTAGAGATCATACGTGAAGCGGTTAGTCTTTCGGTAGCCAGAGCGCAAAGGGAAATAACCACAAACGAGCGATCAATAGGTTTTGTGAGAGAGGGCACCAGGGCTATAAAATCAAACGTCAAGCCTTACTCTATCCTTAAAGCGGCTTCGGATTGGACTATCATGATGGATACGTATGAGAAACAATACAAAATCCCCGAGGATATTTGTGCGTCGGCCTCCAGACCAGACATATTTCTATATTCGCGTATTTTAAAGCGCGTTGTGATGATAGAGCTTACGGTGCCTTGGGAAACCAACATCCCCAAAGACCATGCCACCAAGGTCAATAAGTATTACGAGCTCACTAACGAACTAACTCGAAATAGGTTCGTCGTTGATTTGTACGCGGTAGAGGTGGGAGCGAGAGGTATAACAGCTAAATCTCTCTATAACCTACTAAAAGACTTGGGCCTGTCCAGAACTAACATTAATTCATTCTTAGAACGTACGTCGAAGGCAGCCCTAGTAGGTTCTTTTCAAATTTGGTTAGGTAGGGAGAGGAACTTGGACAGTGGAGGTGAGCGTATAACGCGCGTTAGTTAAGGGGCCCCTTAAACCTACACCTGGGTCGCAAGTCCCAGGCACTGTTGAAGCTCCTCTCCCTGCAACGCAATGGACCCGGCACCCGCACGGTGAATCCATTGAATGCTAAGAGGTTTCGTCTCGTCTTAATGAAATAAGTCGATTGCAACAACTTACCCCTGACTTGGGGTTAGTTGTTACAGCTTCGGGGCACGATGTTACAGTAGGTAAATAAACAAAATGAACAATAATAAATCATTTATTTTTTATTATTTCAAAACGTTATGAATAAAAAAAACTATTTTGATCAGTCTTATAACATTTATGAGCAATTATAATATCTATATCGTAATTTTCCAACTTTTTAACAGTAATAATCACATAACTTTGGCAGGAACTATCTTAAATCTTATATATCGTTTATTTTAGTTATTTTGGTTTATCGGTTAATACAGCGGACTTACGGTTACGACGGTTATGGATGGATTGTTTTCGAGCCTCTGCCTTGGGAAAGGACCTTATCTTTGAAGGCGAAAAATTTTCAAATGTACTTTGTATACCAGATGGACCTGGTATCGCTAATTCAATTTTATTTTTAAGACTTGACGAATCTGCACTCGGTAATGTTGTTAAATATTCTATATCTTGCGAACAAGCTGGATTTGGAGAAGGTGAAACATTAATATTGTTAATAGTGTCAGGTAATAGATTGGTTGCTGTTTCGATTGCCTGTATGATGTCATTTGTATGATTTCATTTTTTCACTTTCCATTTATTCTAAATTTTAAGTACAGCGTCATAATTTCTAAATGATAGTCAATGAGATGAACGGTAATACAAGATCTGATGCAAGTTGTTACATGTAACAACCTATCCCGAAAAACTGTAACAACCTGCCCCATGGTGTGTTTTTTAATTAAAATTAAAGCCGCCATTAATGGATATCAATAGCAGAATAAAACGCTATTACAAATTAAAACTCGATACATTATGAACGTTCGAGGTGAAAAGAATTTAGAGAATAACAAATATAGACAGCAGGAATCAAAAATTTCGTAAAAGATTTTGTTACGAACTTGATGGAAATCGAGACACGTGCACATAACCTAACAGTTTGCCGCTTGGCGGGTCGCTGATTGTTTTTTTGCAAAGCACGATGTTATAAGAAAACAAATGAGTCCACTTACGTCTACCAAAGAGTTAAAAATCCCGGTAAAAAATGCGTGTAACTTCTTACCCCTGTAACAACTGGCCCCCCGCTCCCCTATAAACGAAAGACTTATCGTTAAATGCCCAGTTGTTAATACGAGAACGATATTTATAGATTTGAAAAAGATATTAATCTTAGTAAATAAAAATGTACACAGCACTCAATTTATATTCATCTACAGCTGAACCACAATATATTTCCCAGATCGAATCAATATTTTTATGAGACACCATTAAAAATATTAAAA